TTACTTTAGTGATATCATAGACATTTGCTGTTATTTTCATTCACTTTTAAATGCTCTTGTTTCCCTTTTTAATTTTTCTTTTGACTCATGAGTTATTTAGAAGTGTGTTAGTTAGTCTCAAATTATGTGCTATAATTTATTTCTTGCTTCAACCCAGTGTGGGCAGAGAAGGTATTTTGTGTGAATTTGAATCATTTTCAATGTATTGACTCTTATTTTGTGGCTCAAAAGATCATCTCCATAGATATATGTTCTGTGAAGAACTGATGGTCTATTGTTATTGACTAGAGTGTTACATAAATGCAAATGAAGTTAAATTAATAATGTCATTCAAGTATTTATATCCCTGATAGTTTTTTGCATTGATGTCTTGATTTGTCGATGTGGCTTTCCATTTCTTTTACTTTTTCTCTCATTCATTTTGAACCTGCTAGTTATATTCTCTTCATTGCTTTATAGCCCTTTGTCATTAAAAATGACAATCATTATGATTGTTATTTATTTTTAAAGCAAACTAATATTAACATTATTTCTTCCTAAAGCAAACAAAAATCCACATGAAAAATAGGGACAAACATAATAGCTGAAACAGTAGTTGGAAAGTACGGCCTTGGTGATAGGACACGAAGCTAGAGCTTGTATATAAAATTTTCCCAAGACCAACTTCTTCATTGCAAGCTATTTTTTCAAAAACACCAAAGGCAACTATACCACATGGAATACACAGATGGGATACACAGAAATCAGATTGACTACATCTGTGGAAAGAGACGATAGAGAAGCTCAGTATCAGCAGTGAATACCAGGCCAGGGACCAATTGTTGAACAGATCATCAAATGCACATATGAAAATCAGGTGAAGCTAAAGAAAATAAATTCACCAGAGCCAAGATATGACCTTGAACATAGCCTATCTGAATTTCAAGAACCGATTTGATGCAATTGAATTATGGGGCTGGAAAAGAATATTGAAAGTACCACGGACTACCCAAAGAACAAACAAATATTCCTTGGAAGTACAGCCAGAATGCTCCTTAAAAGCAAGGCCATTGAGAGAGTTTGTGTCATGTACTTTGAACATATTACCAGGGGAGACCAGTCCCTGGGAAAGGACATCTCACTTGCTAGAGGGGCATCAAAAAAGAGGACGATCCTTGGCAAGATGGGTTGACATAGCAGCTATGTCAAACGTAACAACTGTGAGGATGCTGAAGCACTGGGTAGTGTTTTGTTCTGTTGTACTTAGCATCCCTATGAGTCAGAACTTACTCATGGGCACCTAACAGCAACAGCAGTAATCTACTCTGGCTTCTGCTGTGCATGTGTTTTTTGTGGTTGGTAGTATAATTGTACCATGAATTAAGGCCCTTATGTTTGCCCATATTTTTACATCTGATGCATTGAACACTAATTTTAGATGAATTATGCGATGACATCAAGAACATCATAGGTGAAGAGAGCAAAAGGTCATTAAAAAGACAAAATTTCAGAGTGGCGGCATCTGCAATAATCCACTTTCCAATGCCTTCTGCATGGCAGTAAGGCTATTCATATCTCTGGTCTATGGGTAGAGGGGATATGCAGAGGTTAATCCACGTATTTCCCCCTTCACTTTTTTTTTAAGGAGATCAAATGATAAGATGCAATGCTCTCTGATCACAAGGCTATTAAAATCCCTCAATTATGATCAGAGGAGATTCATAAAAGACTTAATCCA